AATCATACCAGAAAGAATTATTTAAAATTAAATTGGGCACTCAGTGACTGAGCTATTATATTAAGGCCAACGTATATGGGTACTGACTTTTTAAATTTTACAATTTTAGTAATGTTTGGTTGTATTTCCTTCTTCCTTGTCCTGTCCTTGACGCTGCCTGGAGCTACTGGCGCTGGTACAGCACTAAAAACCGTTCAATATTACGGTGAACCTCAAACGGTCAAACGAGTGTGACATTTCCTTATAGTTTTGGTTCTACTTTTGCATACAAATGGATGTTTTGCGGTTGGCTACGGTATTCGGGAACGGTATTTATGTGCGCTTAGGGGGTAATTTGGTAGAAGGAGTTAAAGTTGAGAGTTTTAGGCGAGGTCAGAGGTGTCTTTAGCTTTTCTTTACTTTCGAGATAGAGTGGGGACAATTGAGACAAGTTCGTAAACTAATGTAAAGCGAAGTGGAGTAAAGTATAAATACTACTTGTCACAAAATGAGTCACAGTATAGGATTCTGTACCCTCAGTACTGGAACTTACAAACTTAAAAACGTCAAACATTGGGACTTAAGAGTCAAGGCCCAAGAAACAAGAACCCAGAGCTCAAAAGACAAGAACCTATAACCAAGCCCTAAGACCTAAGGGTCTGAAGCCTAAAAGTTAAGAGCCCAAAGCCACTTATTGGATGAAAATACGACCTTATAAATAATTCCTTATCGCATTCATGACGTCATTCACGTGTCTGAATCGTAACAATATCATTATCAATGTCTCTGAATTCCGTGCAAAATTCAAATCAATTTATCTGATCTCGTTCTTAAAAGTGTTATAATTGTCTTCGTAAATCTCGTTGCTACTAAAACAATATTGCAAAACATTCTTACGTCCTTCTCTTTCAAAGGGATAACCTCCTTATCTTTCAAAGGGAAAACTCGTCTTATAAATCATATGCTACAACAATATTGCAAAACATTCTTACGTCCTTCTCTTTCAAAGGGATAACCTCCTTATCTTTCAAAGGGAAAACTCGTCTTATAAATCACGTTGCAAATACACAAAACTCGAACAGCATAAACTTGTCTCCGTGCGAATCTCCACAGTAACATATTTCTTCACACGATCTTATTACTTTAAAAATTCTAAAATAAGCGCACGTGAAAGTCTGATTTAAATTCCTGCAGGCTTGGATCATTAACCTGTAAATAATTCTAAAACTTTGTTAATTATCACCTTATCATGAAACCTGGAGATGAGCCGACTGGCTCAATCAAAATACTAGTCAAGACCATTCAAAACTAACCACTTGGAATGCTCGGAATATCAAGAACTTAAATCTAAACAGCTTAAAATAAGGGTACAGAATCCGTGGGAGGTTCCGTAGTAAATGGGCTGTAAGTTTCAAGGTCTTTACAATAATTTACGATCATATTAAAATGTGTTATTTGGACTTAAAGAAATGCTCGAATCAGGACGGATATTAAACAGCGTACAACACTTCCCTCTTAAAAAATGCTAAGATTGATTCTCTCTGTACAGTCTTTCAGTTAAGATACAGCTAACAGATCTCATATCATATTACATGCAGTGTTTCTATGAATCCTTAAAGTCTAAATCACATGCTGCGTTATTAAAGGCTTACGATCATCGATGATAATATAATTATAACATGTCATATTTATCGGGTTTATAATCACGAAAAGTTACAATGTAATATCTATTTAGTTAAGGAGGCAATGTTTATTCATAACTGCATTAGGCAGTGAGCTTCAAGTTCATATATCAAATACTGTGTCTTTAATTCGCGGCTGAAATCTGCAGAGTTATTCGTTAGCTTTGTTTTAATCTTCCAAGCTTGTCCGATGTCTTTTCCGTGACTTTTTTCGAGGAACAGCTTGTCTAAAACTTGCTGGGGGTTGTTATAGAGTGAAGAAGAAGTAGTGAGAGGGTAGTTTCCAGAGTGGTATCGTTATACCTTCTGTAAGGTTCCTGTTACATAAATTGTGATTCTGCAACTATCATAATTTGCAAAATTACATCAATTCTTTTGGATCATGTCCATGTTCGACCAGTGAGTTATCCTCTGTTGTCGAACTGAAGAGTGGGCTGGAGGTTCTTTCAGGAGTGATTTAATGTCAGCTTCGGCTTGAACTTTTGCACTCAGCAACATTCATTAGACCTGTTTTCTTACTGTCAAATCAGCATTTCAATCGGAATGTCTAACTATTTATGGGTATCAAGTGCAACCTTTGTCATCAAGTTCGAAACAGTTAAAAGTTTCAGCCGTTGCAAAACTACTTATACCAACAGGTAGATCAAATCTTCCAAGTATTTACTACATGGACTCATCAACTAATGGTAGCAACTCCTCGTCAATGAATCACTACTTGGTAGAGTTAACCAGCCAGATAGGCATTCATAGTTCTTTCCGTCGTAATAAGTGTCTTTCAGTAACTTTCGGTGTCTTTCAGTGTCTTTCAGAATCTTTCAAAATTTCATGTGGAAAGGGAGACAGGACCAGTTTTGGCCAGAGTAGACTTGAGAAACGATGGAGCGAACAATGCAAATTAAAGCTTGGGCTAACCTTTGAAGAGCGAAAAATATCCTTTTTGGTCTGGGGTTGTACCTAGTTTGTTCAGTCTCTGAGCGGTCCGGGGCATTGTTTTCATTCATGGGTTCGCTGGTTGGTGCTTCCATTTCCATAACAGTGCCGAACATCAGTTTCGTCCTTTCACTTTCGTCCATCGGATCAGATATCTTGTGGTTCTCATCGTCATTGGTGATCTTTTCAGTAGCATTGCCGGTTCCTTTGCATATCAAGGTTCTTCTAATTGATATCTCTAGAGTGCTCGGATCAATTCGACAAGTCTATACTTCGCTTATTATCAACTAAAGCTAGCAAGTAGCGATCAACGTAACAACTGACAAGGGTCATCGTGATGCTAGAATGGGGTCTCTGGGAGGTAGATCTCAGCTAGGGTATTTGCTGCGGGTTCATCAGCAAAAGCAGCAACTCCTTGCAATGAACCACTACTCTTAGCTGGGACCCGATCAGATGAACAATCACATTTGTTGATTTTATCACCATAAGATATCAGTCCTTGACATTTCTGTAAGTAAAAGTCATAATCCTTCAGGTGGACGAAACTAATTAGTAATTAGTTAGAATGTTAGATGTGGATCCTAACCTAGCTTCATCAACTTAGGCATGTTAGTTTCATCGGGTTGTGCTTGTAAGGTATTGTTATCTAGTGTTGACTAGGAGTTTCAGCTTTGCGTTAATTTGTAGGGATAAGCTTTATTGTGTCAAAATGGCACACAATCTGCTTATTCGTTTCCAGGTGTTGTACCAGGTAGGTCCAAGAGGCTAGAACTTTGAAGATCTTCGAGGGTTCAAGGGTTCCAGGACTGTGTCAATTCTTGAATTTTCTGAAATCTGTAATGGAGAGGCTAAGAAGTTTCCACATTAGGACCAAGTCGTCTTCAACTCTAATGTAGCAAGTGGATCTCCCATGACTAATGTAGTAAATTATAACCTCGTTTGGGATCGGTTGGCTGAGTTCCAATAGACTGCAGCGTACAACTCAGTGCCCGGGTTCTCCACCAAATTGTGCGCTTAGGGGGTAATTTGGTAGAAGGAGTTAAAGTTGAGAGTTTTAGGCGAGGTCAGAGGTGTCTTTAGCTTTTCTTTACTTTCGAGATAGAGTGGGGACAATTGAGACAAGTTCGTAAACTAATGTAAAGCGAAGTGGAGTAAAGTATAAATACTACTTGTCACAAAATGAGTCACAGTATAGGATTCTGTACCCTCAGTACTGGAACTTACAAACTTAAAAACGTCAAACATTGGGACTTAAGAGTCAAGGCCCAAGAAACAAGAACCCAGAGCTCAAAAGACAAGAACCTATAACCAAGCCCTAAGACCTAAGGGTCTGAAGCCTAAAAGTTAAGAGCCCAAAGCCACTTATTGGATGAAAATACGACCTTATAAATAATTCCTTATCGCATTCATGACGTCATTCACGTGTCTGAATCGTAACAATATCATTATCAATGTCTCTGAATTCCGTGCAAAATTCAAATCAATTTATCTGATCTCGTTCTTAAAAGTGTTATAATTGTCTTCGTAAATCTCGTTGCTACTAAAACAATATTGCAAAACATTCTTACGTCCTTCTCTTTCAAAGGGATAACCTCCTTATCTTTCAAAGGGAAAACTCGTCTTATAAATCATATGCTACAACAATATTGCAAAACATTCTTACGTCCTTCTCTTTCAAAGGGATAACCTCCTTATCTTTCAAAGGGAAAACTCGTCTTATAAATCACGTTGCAAATACACAAAACTCGAACAGCATAAACTTGTCTCCGTGCGAATCTCCACAGTAACATATTTCTTCACACGATCTTATTACTTTAAAAATTCTAAAATAAGCGCACGTGAAAGTCTGATTTAAATTCCTGCAGGCTTGGATCATTAACCTGTAAATAATTCTAAAACTTTGTTAATTATCACCTTATCATGAAACCTGGAGATGAGCCGACTGGCTCAATCAAAATACTAGTCAAGACCATTCAAAACTAACCACTTGGAATGCTCGGAATATCAAGAACTTAAATCTAAACAGCTTAAAATAAGGGTACAGAATCCGTGGGAGGTTCCGTAGTAAATGGGCTGTAAGTTTCAAGGTCTTTACAATAATTTACGATCATATTAAAATGTGTTATTTGGACTTAAAGAAATGCTCGAATCAGGACGGATATTAAACAGCGTACATTTACCTACAGTTTAAACGGAAAGATAGCCTTGAGCCTAACGATGCGTGCTATAGTTCGAATACATTCTGGGTCTATGACCTTGGCCGGAATAAGGAAGCCCGTCCCAAAAGATGGCTCATGGTTCCATTACTGCGCAAAATATGATCATAATTTTTACAGAGGATACATCAACGGAGAATTAACAGGTTCCCATTCTCTTTCGGCCTTACCGCTCCTAGAAGCAAACGGCGCCATGGAAATAGGACCATTTACAGGTGAGATTTGTTGATAAAGGGAGTTTATACCTGAATTTAGAGCCACAAGGCCAGGTGTGGTTTTAGATAGGGAATAATCTGGATTTTCAAGGGTTTACACTTTACACTTTACCCCTAGTAGACGGTTTACTTTTGTATGGGGTCATTGCATTGCTGATATTATATTTATATTGTTTGAATACTAATTATTTTTAGGTCTGATGTTTGATCTCAACTTCTACACAACTTTGATTTCGGATAGTGAGATAACTGATCTGTACGATGCTGCACTGGCAGGTGCAAAGGTTGAACCTTCTTTGTCAGACAAATTTTCTAAATACAAGGCGTTCGGTTGGGAGGATTTACTGAAAAAGACCAGAGAGATTAGTGGTACAAGTTGCTTCTCCGAAATTCATGCAGGATTCCCTGTGAGTATAAGCTTTGAGAAGTTACACAAGTTTCTCCAGTCTATTGAACGAAATGTGGTTTTCGGAAAAGCCATGGTACTACATACTATTACTATGCTTATTGTTTGAATTGGATTTGATATAAACTAGGTATTTGTTCATTTATTAATTTTTTATTTCTTCAGGACAGCGGGCATGACAGTGACGATGACAGCAAGGATGACAGCGACGATGACAGCAAAGAAGACAGCAAGGATGACAGCAAGGATGACAGCAAGGATGACAGCGACGATGACAGCAAGGATGGCAGTGATCTTGAGTCGGATCTGAGAAACATAAAGACAGAACTGGAATACACAAAGTTGGAACTAGAAAAAGCAAAGAAGGAACTCAAGAATGGAGCTGAATGTGAATTGGATCTGAGTAACATAAAAGTAGAAGTAGAACTAGAAAACGCAAAGTTGTAATTACAAGAAGCAAAGAAGGAGCCGGAGAACGTGGCTGAATCTGATGAACTGCAAAAAGGAGAGCTGGCGATATGGGATGTTTTATACTCGTCTAACTTCACAATAAGAAGTTTACTCGCAAAATTCAAAAGAAATTCATCCGAATGTGGAGAAAGAAAGCAAAGAAACTGTTTGGGAAGAAGTTGACTGACGAAGCCATAGAAAAGTTCAAGGATCTAAACAATTAGCACGCAGATGACAATTGTGAAACTGATTTCAGGACTTTCTTTTAACTTGAAACTATTAGAGTATTAGTATTACTATTTCTCATTAAAAACTGAACTGCTAAATTTAACTAGATAGAGGTAGTGTTACGGTCAAAATTTCAAAATATTTTTTTCTGCTTGTTCCATATTGTTCTAATTATCTTCCAAAATTATCTTCGCCACTACAGCTCACGATTTTATTTTGTTATATTTGCGTGGAAATTCATTTGATGAATTACAATTTATTGTACTACATACTACTATTTAACTATTTAACTATTATATACCAATGCTATATTAAGTCATATGGTTTGACATCTAAGAGAATAACGAATTTGTAGCATCTACCGATTCACTGGTTCAGTCTGAGCAGCAGGTTGTGCAGGCAAAGTTTCCGAACACAGGGTTTCAGCCTATGGGGGTGTTTCGGAATCAGCATCGAAAAGTACATCGAATGATAATACTTTCATATGCTCAGGGCTGATATTCGGACGATGACGCCGCTTTAAATCAATAAGTCACTTTTGTGGAAACGCGCCCATTGAACACATAAGCTTGGTTTATGCATTATGGCATTCTTGGGTCATACAGCATGACTGGATAAAGATAAGTTTAAAATTAGCGTTCATGCCACCGGCCCTGTACTCCAAAATGTCAGTGTCGGTTGCTGAGAAACCAGCTGTGATCGCTAAAGTAGTCATGGCGAATTACAAAACTCAGAATCTACCATTACATTAACACATTCTGCTTCAATAACATATAAAAACATTTTTATAGAAATGAAATATCTTTTACCATTTTGAAATTATTTGAAAAGTGAATCAATACACAATAAATGACTTTTTAAGATTAAACACCATGACTTTTGAAAAACCATGTATACAACATAGATATTTAAAAAATCTGTCTTCCAAATAATCCTTAAACTCGAAATTTGCAGTCGATTTGAACAAGCTGCCTTGCATAATTTCAGATCTGTAACTCAATTATAACGCAAAACTAACACAAATTTTGTCGGGGTCGAATATTTTGTTGTTATTTTGAATATTAAATTAGAATATTTTAGGCTGAATGAAATGGACCTTTAATTAACTTCTGAATAGTGAGTCGCAAGCATTGTGGAAATATAAAGGTCAAGTTTCAAGACTGTTAATATTTTCTTTCAAATTCAAAATATCGAATGCATGACTAATACTAATAGTAAAACTGTATAAATACATTTTTTCCTCAGCTAATCAGCTAAGATAAGAAGTTGGTATAACACTAAGTAAGATAAGAAGTTAGCATAATATTAACTAAGATAAGAAGTAATCATATTACTCGTTCTTCTATACGTTCTTGAGACTGGTTTGAAGCACATTTGCTTCGAACTAACTACTTCTTTCTTCTTCGGTTTAACCCTGGTAACCCTTATCTCGTGAAACTGCCATAGCTCATCTGTTGCCCTGGTGACGAATATACACTCTACTTTTCCGACGTTCTTCAGATTAAAGAGGGAAAATTCATCCGACTCCCCCACTAAAAAGTCGTCGGTTTCTGGTTCTTCTTCGATCTCATCATACTCACCGTATTCATAATCATCTTCGGATCCATAATCGTCCTCTGCACCTAGATCATCCTCCGGATCCACATCATCCTCCGGATCCACCCCAATCTCCGGAACAAACTCCCCCTCGACATCTGGAGCAAACTCTTCGCCTCCCAGGTCGGGGGTGTGACCCTTTGGGTTGCCGCTAAACACAATCGTAGCCTGTACATTTTCTGCATCTCCCCACATTTCGTTAGCTGTTGTGATCTTCAACGTGTAAATCTGGGCTCCTAGTTCGCAATCCTCATCCGACCAACCGTACCTGTTCCCCTGAGAACCACTGTCTCGAGGTGTCTTCTTCATGGATATCCTGTCAATCTTGAGATCGTAGCAGGACTCCTCAGGGAACGTGAAGCACTGGTATCTCTCCACGTCAGCTAGAGACTCAACGTCTACAATGTCAGGGGTTACGTTAAACCTCTCCTCATCCTGGTCCTCATCCAGTAGATCTATTCGAACAGTTCCTCTGCAAGGGTTTATCTCTAGGAGAAGATCCCGTTTTGGGGGTTGGTTCCTAGGTTCTTCTTCTTCCATAGTTCAGGGGTCGACTTAAAATGTCAAGTTATAATTAATAACAGCACTATTATAAAACTGAAACCAAGAATGTTGAAACTGTATGGTGTGCTGATAAGTCAGAGTAGCTATTATATTGTGTTGGAATGTTGGGACAATGAACAGTAAGTTCTGAGCTGTTATTGTAATATGAGTACTCTTAACACAGTTGAAATTTAGTGATGTCCCGATCTGTTTTTTGGTAGTTATATTGGTAATATGATTTATATTTCAGTTTCACCGGTTTGCGCAGTTCATTCGCATGGATTTGTTTATATTTATAATATCTAATTCTGTGTAGGGTGGTATAGGATCTAGTACTCTAAATATACAGGGGGGGGGGGGGGGCAAAAGTCAGTGTGCAAAAGTTGGCCTTAAATTGAATAGCTCAGTCACTGAGTGCCCAATTTACATAATTCTTTCTGGTATGACTTACTAATGCTACCATCAGTACCACTGGTTCGAGGAATTTGTCAAATCGAAATATATTCGTGTTCATTTTTTTCAAATGAAGGTTCATTTTCGCAATTATTTAATAGTTTGGATAGTCGGATCGAGCCAAATTTTATTGAATTGTTTTTGGCCATTCGAATTACGTTTGTCCAGAAAAAAATGAGAGTTTTAGCTTCTCAGATGACCGAGATACGAAGCATAAGGGGTCGTTCACTTAAAGTTAATCATATTACGTAATCAGCTGGAGGGGGGGGGGGGGGTTCCAAAAACTAACGGTTGATTACAGGGGGTGGATCTTGATTACGGAGGGGGGGGGGGTAAAAATTGCTAAAATATTGATTGCGTAACATGTGAACGACCCCTTGGCCTTGGTTAATGGTTATCCTCGTAGTTTAAATCTGATTGATAAAATGATATTGATATTATGGCAATTCGGCAATCTGTCGATGGTCACTTAAAGTTAACGCACGGTTAAGGTACTTCAACCGTCAACGACGAGACTCTAAGTTTAAAACAAGCCTCAACAAAACAATAACGAACTAACAGACTAGTTGACTGTTAGTGCTCCAGTTGAGTAGCGGATACAATAGAGGGGCTAAATTACGTAGGTCACTACAAATAATGATCATTGTTGCTGCAAAACAAACATTCCACTTAACCCCACCGCTAAGTTAATGGTTTTAATGACCTCTAAAACTATTACTGATTATCCTATCTTCTCCTCACTCTCAGCTAGTGCTACCTGATAGCACCAGGATTTAATGATCTCAATGTAAATATTTCTAGTGAATTTGTACCTTGATTCAAGAATTCATAGAAAAAATGTTGTTGTTTTGATGTAAACTCACAACTCTAAGTCTAGTTACAGGGAAAGCTTTTGAAGGCTGGAAGTGCGCGTAATAGTGCACCCAGATAAGAGTTTTAAATATAAACTAGAGAAATGTTAGGAGAGGAGTTTTTACTACTACTAGTGTCTTTAGTAGTGTCTTTACCTAGTGTGTACATAGCACTTTAGTAGTGTACCTAGCAGTAAAGCAGTTAAATTGGCGGTTAGATAAATACACACTTAACATTAATACCCTATTAGTAAGTCTATTATTAGACTCATTCAATCGTCAGTGGCTTGATGACGAAGAAAACAGCTTTGTTTATAAGCCATTGTTAACAGTTGCTTCTTTGATACTATTTGTACAGAAGGACAAACAGCTACAGTTGCTTAGGTCGATCGAAGAGACAGTACAAACAACGGTGGAGTCAGGGATTCAGAGCTACAGTGCAGCTGCATACAACAGAACAGTGCAAGTGGTACGGTCTGCAACATGCAACAGAAACATTCTGAAGAAGGTCCGGTGATGAACAGTGTGGCTGCAGAGGAGGACAGGAGCTTACCTGAGGACCCCAGGCTATTAGTATTATATTACTATTATTTGACCAAAACCCATAATCATGGGTAGAGTGTACCGCTGCCAGTGTCTCTCTTTTCCAAACAAAAGGAAATGATATTAATTTGAGGAACAGTCCGCTAATGCAAATTGATACCGAGAATGAAATCGGTCGCTCGCTTTTTCAAATCAATAAGCTTTATTACAATTCGTAAGCCGTGATCGAATGTAAAAAAGCGAGCGACCGATTTCATTCTCGGTATCAATTTGCATTAGCGGACTGTTCCTCAAATTAATATCATTTCCTTTTGTTTGGAAAAGAGAGACACTGGCAGCGGTACACTCTACCCATGATTATGGGTTTTGGTCAAATATCATCTCTTTTTGATTATAATGTCAGGATAATTTACACAGCTAGTCGAAACTTCATTAACAAGGAGGTAATTTCGACGATTTCGAAATTCTGCCTTTGAAAACGTTTCCTTGTGTTTAGTTAGGTATTTCTGTCGATAACCGACTGAATATGGCACTTTTTACTCATTCAAGTTGGCATTAAATTCATATATAATGCCATTTAAATATCGTGGAAAGCAGAATATATTCGAAATCACGAATGAGCAAATTTCTCACCTTTCGCACGTGCAAACTTTGAGCGGACGTCGCGTGCTCATACAATATTGAATCACCGTACATTTTTGCATAGTGGTATTTAATATATAGTTTGATAAGCATGCAAAGTTTCAGAAGATTTCAAAAAGAACTTGGATCACAACGGGACTCCAAAGTTGATAAAAATCGTGAAAATCAAAATTTTTAGCGATTTTAGCTATTTTAAATGAATTTGGGCGTGTCCCCACGTGTGCAACTTTTCGATTTTTAACTTTAAAACTAGCCTATAACACAATTTACACCTTTAAGAAGCAAAATTGACCTCCACAACCCAAGGGATGGCCCAACACCAGAGAATACTAATTCACAACTTTTGTGTTTTTATAAAATTATTCTTCAAAAAAGCACTAACTTCAATAGCAAATATCTTTATGGAGGAGCAAGGTAGGAAACTATTCCGGTAGATTTTCGGAATGCTTGAACAATTATCTAAGATGAAAATGTCCTCAGATTTTGAATAAAATTACTCCTTAATAGTGTAAAATCGATTTAAAAAGTTGTTACTTTGTCAAAAGTCAAGTTTTAAAAACACTTAACTTGATGACGTCATCAAGTGATGATGATGACGTTAAATTATTTTTCAATACAATGTAAACTAAAGCTTAAACAATTATCTTTAAAACCTGTGGTTCGAGATGACTGTATCGTTTATACTTTTGAATCTACGGACACTTAAATGTAGGCTACAATTGACTGCAAAAAGCGTCTATACATATATGATATATATCTTCACGACAATCTGTTGTAAAACAGGAGTTCCAGAAAACCCACTTCCCGATACTCCTGAAACATGACATTTTTTTTTGCAGTCGATTTGGACAAGGTCTAGACGCCCTGCAAAGTTTCAAATCTCTAACTCAATTTTAACATGGTTTTTAAGGCACCTGAATATGGCGATTTTGGGTTTTTTACCTAATTTCGTATAACATGCTGGCGCGTATTTTGCGCAAATTTCTTAAAAACCTCCACATAACTATTTCTTATTCCTGTCATCTTTAACATTGAATTAGAATGTTTTGAACATAATTATGGATGATAATTAATCACTCTACACTCGACTGTCACGTGACTTTTTCAACCCGTTCTCTAGCTGGTCCTGAACGACTATTCGAAACCCTAACCCTCTTATCTGATCCCAACCCTAACCCTAACCCAATCCTTAACAAAAGCATATGCTGAAACCCTAACCCTTACGAGAAATTAGACTAACTTCCTTATACGGTCATATCACGTGATCGAGACAGTTTTTCGCCTATATCTCGTCAGGGGAGCATTTTAACCGTATGTCATGGGGGGTGATCCGGAATCAGCGTCCGAAAATACATCGATTAAAGTTGGTTTCAACTGTCGGGGGGCCCTTTTAGAACAATCTCGAAGATCGACTGTAGAGTGATTTAGTACGCTCGCATAATTATACCTGCTGAACTACTTTCGATGAGTCTTAATGCCGGGAAAACAATAAAGGGGATATACTAGTATAGGGGGTAAATAGTATTGTGAATATAAGGGCGACGGTAATGCTTGCCAGCATTGTGATATGTTCATAAAACACCGAATAGAGATTCAGCGGAATGACAGGCTGAGCGCGGCCCAGTAAAGGAGGACAGGAGCTTACCTGGGGACCCCAGGCAATTAGTATTATGTTCATAAAACACCGAATAGAGATTCGGCGGAATGACAGGCTGAGCGCCGCCCAGTAACTGTAAGACAGGAGCAAGAACCTGATTTGTGATTGTGTTGGCTTCGTCAGATTTTTGTTGGCACTATACCGAAAAAACCAGTCCCATAACTCTTGCTTACCGTTTTCTTGATGAAACCGCTCGGAAATTTGCTTACAGATTTACTGGGATTATTAGTATTGATACCAAAGCGCCATGTTACCGAATTAAACCGTTTTTGCGATAATAATAAAGTGTGTAACAGGAAGTCGCGCCAGACCTTAGATGTCTTTTTAAGGGACCGTTCACATAAACATATATCATTAGTTTTTTATTGCAAATTCTTCTTCCTAAGAACTAAAAATTATTATACATACCTATTGTGTGGAAGCGACATCAACGTAATCATAACGATGTATGTGAAGATCTCCAATTTTGATAAATTTGGTACCAAAAGTTGCCTCTAAAGTGTGAATAATACAAATTCACCGTGCAGCACGATAAGCTGTATGTGCAATGCAAATGTGGGCTTCCTGTGCATTGCAAGTTTGTAAAATAGACGAAAAATGAACATTTTCGCGCACGAGTTTTCAACCTTAGACATGACCTAAAATGCCGAAATATTTTCAAATACTTTTGGTACCAAACTTATAATATTTGGAGGACCATATTTTTTAAAAAATTTTTAAAATTCACACAATTAAAACATACAATTTTATCAAATTACTTAAAACGGTATGATGATATTAATACAGGGCAACATGGAAACAAAATGTAGATATAGAATCAACTACAGCCACAAAAGGCCCACTAAAACATTAACAAATAATAAAATATATTCTGCCACAAACTCGGCTTATCGTGTTGTTACCCTGCTCAGAAATGAAACATCTATTTATATAACGTCCAGAAACGGATTTAATATCTGATGGTATGATGCTGCCTGAAAATGGCCATAAACCGAGTTTTTGTTAATGGGTATTAACCGTCATTGTACACCGATAAGCTAAACGTATCTTGAAATGAAAACAGATATATTGATTCGGCCAAAATAAAGCTTCCTCCAACGACGTGTATTTCAAGCACTAAAATGTAAAAGCTGAATTATAAATTGGATTCAGTAATAAGACGATCATGGCTAGTCTGTCTAGTAATAAGTTACTCTTCTTTCATTATTATATGACATAACATGGTTATTGGTCTCGTCAGGTGAGATTAGACACAAAACAGGAGGTTGTTTCACGGGTATTTCAGGTATTTCAGGTATGTTGAGTGTAGAAAGAGTGTCGGAGACAATTTACCATCTGCCTCTGTTGTTGTAACCCCCTCTGTTGTTGTTGTTGTTGTTATGGTAACCACCTCTGTACCCTCCACCTGGAGAGAAAGGAATGTTTGAGGAATTCTAACTTAAAGTAGCGTTAATATTGGGTACTGTTTGGGAGTTGGTGGACACTAGACATTGTGACAGACATTTTCTTGTAATATGGAAGAATATCAACAATACCTCCCCACCAGTAGCCACGTCCATGATTCAGTATAATATCTGCCTTCCCACTAGACATATATTCAGTATAATATGTATAAATAACTCTCCAACTAATAGGAAAGTTGTTTCTCAGGACATATTGTTATTTAAACTGTAACTAACCTTGTCCGCCTCCGTACCCGCCTCTGTGACCTCCGCCTCTTCCACCACCGTACCCTCCACTTCCACCGTACCCTCCTCCGTGCCCACCTCCTCCTCCTCCTCTTCCGCCTCCATACGGACTGTATCTGTTATCTCTGAGGGTGAAACATGTTAGATAAGAGTTATTATTGTTTAGAGGATTTTGTTGCATTTTTTTGTGTTGGTTATTTTTGCATTGATTCTGTTTCTTTCACCATGTTATGAAGTATAAAACACTTTTCTTCTGATATCAATCCTAGGGTAAAACCACAAGAGCAGATCAGTGCAACAAATTTTCAAAAAAGTTATTTTCACAGCTACGAAACTTGAACACCTAACCCCGCCAAGAATTAACCTGTAGTTGTTATAAGCCTTGTAGTTGTTGTTACCGCCACCTCCTCTATAGTTGTTATTGTTGTTATAGTAACCGCCTCGGCCCCCGTGATGGTAAGGACCTGATCTTCTCCTCCGGTTCTTTTTCAGCCAGTTCTGTCCGTCCAAGTTGTAGACTTTAACTCTTTCAGCTACCTCTTCTACCGTGGACTCCGGGTATATCACCTGGTTAAGTTTTGAGGTGAACTGTAAATTATAACTTCGTCTTGTTGAATATAAAAGATAGTCACGCTTCTGAGGAGATGGATGTTTGACTTAATGTTTGAGTGAGACTGTATTTTTTGAGTTTTGAGATACATTAGTAAAAGTAGAGTCAAGGTCAGGAGAACGGAATGGTTATGTACCGAAGATTTTGTACCAATTGCAAAATAATCATGGGAATTGAGTAATTGGCAAGGGAAAAACTATGTTCTTACCTCAGAGACTTGTTCAGGGCAGGCTGGTATGGTTAGATAAGCTTTCATCTCGTTCTGAAGATCTTTAGGTAGCTCCTCGTGTCGCTCTGCTTCTGCGATAGCTTCAGAACGCTCTTTAAGTGTGTCTTCAGATGGGATTATTGCAACAGCTCTCTTCTTGTAGCCTCCTAGTAGGGGTGACAGTTAGTGGGGGATAAACATGTGTGACGTCACGTTAAGGAGAATGTGAAGGAGATGGAAAAGTTTATTTGCACTCTAGAGAATATGACATCATGAAGTGATATCACAAACTTCAAACTAACCATTAAAATAGTTAAGTTTCCTCCTCTGTGCGGCTGACTGACAGTTATGTTGATCTATAATGTAGTTCCTGGCTCTCCTTCCCGCCAGATCGAATACTATTCGCAACATATTCTCCGCGTGGTTTATCATCCCGTATCCCATTCTCCCGTTCTTTGTCTTTTTCCGTGCTTCCACCGCATCGTTCATCCTCTTCAGGATGTACGACGTACCGAGGATGTTGTAGCTGAAAGTTATTTTAGTTAGAATTAGTGTTTAGTAGTGACTCGCAGGGTCTGAATTCTGATACATAATAGAACATAAACCTTGAGAATTTAACATCGAGAATAACTATAAGTGCAGCAAATCAACTGCACGCATCTGCAATATGCAAATACAAAACTTAAAACGACCATAGCCAAAGGACATAAATAACCAAGAAAACATCAAAACAAAGTCTCCAAGTATTAGTTGGCAACTAACTGTTTATCAGGGTTTTCAGCGACGTGTTTCTTAACGTAAGTAGTCTTGCCAGCACTGGGGAATCCTATCATCATCACCACCTCACATTCCTCACGAGATTCCGGAGCTACGGGTCCCCGAACTTTGTCTTCGTGCTCCTGGTTTGCAGAAGAAATTAGAGGATAATGCGAACGGTTGAACAAAAAAACCGAGAATGTTTATTGTTTAAAGAAAAATGTTTATAGTGATAGCTCAATGACATATAAATCATGAGATATAGCTAACAATTCACATGCGACAGCTAATAAAGTATTAAAGCCATATATTACGTAACAAAAAAAGAAAAAGGTCGCCCAACCATCATTTTAAAGTACCTGCATGTACGTGTAGCCCTCAGGAAGGAAGACATCCTCTCCAGATTCAGTAGTCAGAGTGAAGGGCATGTTCCTGATACCTAGACTTGGGAACAGAGTCGTATCTTGCATTGTTTTTGGTAGGGGGATCGCCTCTCCTACTGACTCTCCGTTCACGTAGAAACTAGGGGAAGACGGACGTTACGTTAAATGGTAAATTGGAGGCATGTAAAGATGGATGTGTTCTCATCAAGTGCCCCCCCCCCCCCCTCCCCCCTGGCCCTCAAGTTCAGATCACCAAATATCGTACTTTCGAATCGATTCAATAAGTGGCTTGGACCAAATGGTCACAAAAAACAGCATAAGTCACACTTCAGCTGGGGAAATGAGAAATAAACGTTTTATATCTTTACCTGACGTTGAGCTCATCAAAATCAATAGCAACAGTAACAATGTCTTTTTCTTTGAGCGTTGACGTTTCTTCTTTAAAGTACTGATCGACCGCACCGTCAATATACTTCTTCCCTGAAAAAATCAGTCAATCAGACAAGATAACAACAATATGTTCACTAACTAGCCTATTAAATTTTGGATACAAGAATAATAGTCGGACGAAGCTATTATAGATTGTAATTTGATCCGACTCACCGAAGTTATCAATACAGACACTCTTATCATCCATGCCCGGTACAATACTGGCAGCCTGGGTGCTAAAACCAATCCTGAACTGATGTTTCTCAACCCCAAAGTTCTCGTAACTCCTGCACTCCAACTTCTCCTTGATAGTTGCGCCGTAACACACTTTACCGCTAGATACTCCGTATGTGGTGCGACCTGAGATTGGGAAGATTATTAATTGTTTTTAATATTAATTGTTTTAATCTTATTAATGTATTGTTTTTATGTTTATGTTGGCGGCTTCTTTCAGATCGCTTTTACAGGAATTAAGAATTTAAAGACCTCAAACAGTTTCCCAGTCAAACTGACGTAAAATACAAAGTAGTAATTCAGCGATCTTAGTAAAAAGGAATAAGAATATAAACAGAATATAAAAGTACATTTGTTGGCCAGAAATCAGCTGAACTAAAAACATAAAGTATGTTACCACAAGTCCAGAGTTGAGAGAATCCAGACTCGACCCTGTTTGAGCCAGTCATTCCTTTGTCTTCAATCTTAAGGAACACGTCAGAGTTGTAGAAGTCCAGAGCTACTCTCTCTTCGTCTATTTCTGGTCCTTTGTCTTCAGGAGGAGGGGGCTTGCTGGAACAGATTGAGAGTTTTACATTTTACTTTAAACTATTTTATTAAATAGTGCATATCAGTATTATATGCTTGTATTACCAATAATATTGGCGTAACAGAACAGCATTCTAATTCTGGTACATCTCCTAAGAGTTTAAAAGTGGTTGGTATATCTCATAATCAGCACAAGTTTTGCAACGAACAAAAGACTTACCTCTCCCTGTTGGGGGTCCTGGACGGGTAGCTGCTGTACGTGGTCTTCTGCTCGTTGTTATTAGTGTACGTGGTCTGGGGCTTATCAGTAGCTTTCTCTGTTGCTGTGTCGGACGATTCCGCTGCTTCCATCGGTTCATCTGAAATAATTTGTTGAGAGGACTGAGGAATTATTCTCTTGGACATCTCATTTCCGCTTCAGTAATTTAGGCGGGCAGTCGTACTCAGTGTATCAACTTAATTATTTGGAGAAAGATTTTAGCGCGCGCCGCGCATATTGATGATATGAAATGTGGTACTTTTCATTTAAATGGGCCGAATTTTGAAGGTTAAACTTAGAGCATCCAGCAAGTTTGAATGCGAACACTAGTAGAGATTTAAATTAAACATTTATTGCAATTTGTATCCGTTTTTTGGAATTTATGTTCGAGAACGTGATTAAATGCAGCCCGAATATAACCTACGCTAGATGTTTGATTCAATAAAGAGACTGTGGTAAGCGTACAGAAATTTTAATAAAATAATGTGTAATAAATTGTTGTGTAATAAGTCAGATATTCACGATCACTGAAAACAGTACCATGGGATCTAGTTGAACATCATTTCCGTTTCCAGGGAGAAAGCTTAGTTATAGTGCATTATTTAACTTGGGCCCTAAATCTGGGTCAAGTTTTGTGCCAAGAATTGACCATTCTGTCAAACAATTTTGTGAGTGGATCAAAAACTGGCAAAACTTAAACAAAAATATAGATTATTAATCTTAATGGGTGGTAATAAGCCCAAGAAGTTTTTGTGAGATAACAATCACAGATAAACAGCTTCCTAGTTTTGAAAAATGGTCCATCCCGGTCTGAAAAGTCAAGATGGTTATTTCTTGTAGCCATCTTTGACACACTTAAGGTAAAGCTACAATTGGACTCTTTACTTTAAATTTGTTACGTGGAATAATAATTTAACACTTCACACAAAAGTTTTTAACTTTAAACGATATCAATACTTTCGTCAACCTTAAAAACTTCAGTGTTCACAGATTTAGCAGGCCAAGCTCCCAGCTTAGCTTTGGAAAAAGCGTTGTTGATACTGAGCTTTACAGCGTGATACTCATCAGCTAACGCCTTACACGCAAAGTAAGTGGACGGAATCTCCTTCCCGACCTTTTGACACAATTTAGTGTACAACCCAAACCCTGCTATCTTAGAAAGCTGGCTTGGACGCATTGATTCTCGGATTTTCTTAGCGTTAGCAAGCTTTTTCTCATAGTACTCCACGTCGTCCTGACAGTCTGCGTGTATGACTGACACGTGGTCACTATCGTTAATAGCCATACCCTCAGGGCTTTTAATAACCTCCCATTGCCCAGAGGACAGAGCCCAACCTGACATATTGTTCATTTTATCATTCCCGTTATACAATATCCGAGGAGGCCGCACTGAGTATGTCTCAATATCAGGCTTAGTTATCTTGTAAGGAAGTGGAACTTTGTAGATCTGCGCTTCAATCCGCTCGTATAGCGCCCGGGTTACAGCCGGAACGGACAGAAAGAAGGACTTGTACAGCATGTATTTCTGTATGTATACCGGGTCTAGGAACTGCGAGAGAAGGGCACCTTGTAGCCCCGCTATGTTACAAACAGCTAGTTTATCTGAAGGACATGCTATCACATGTTTTGCCTGGCCTCTCTTTTCTATGAGTTCCTCAGTTAGGTATTTGTTGCCGTTGGAACACCTGAACTGCATTGCTCCTGGGTTACCTTGTGTGACATGGGAGGTTGCTCGCACACTGTTTCTCTTGTTGGGGTTCCGTTCTGATTTTTTAGAGGTGCTCTCTATCACTAGGGCATCTCCAGTAGGTGGCACATTCTTCAACATCACAACCTTGTATTTAAACATGATACGGTATTTATCAGAACCCTCTATTTTCTCCAGAATACTATCTTTACCATCAATAGCCTTGTCTAACTCTCCAAATAAATACAGCCTAAACGCTCGGATTGCTAAGATCTCCGCGTGCCAGTCATGAATAACGGAACCGTTTTGTTTCAGTCTTTTAGCATCCACAGAACCTGTTCCCACTCCCACAGAGATAACCTCGTAATCTTCAGCTGTGGAACCCTCTCCGCTCTGCAGTAAAATACCTGCCACATTGAACGTCGAGATGAAATCTTTACAGACTTTCTCAGTCTTCTGGTCGATTGTCTGAAATACCTTGGCAGCTAGTTTATCTTGAAGAGTTTCTAGTTTACCGGGGTCATCAAAGGTATTATCAGCTCCCTCAATCCCTTCCTCTTGCACTCTCATAAACTTGGGAGGTTTCACCTCAAAGTGCTTCAAACAAGTGTACACAACCAGCTCCTTGGCTTTCTTCTTATTGGCAGCCACCTCCTCAAACACCTGCTCGCCTACCTTGAGAGTTGCTTTGTACACGGTCCGGGGTGGTTTACTGGGTGAAACCAGCAGAGGATCATCCAGCAGAAACTCAGCGTGAACACTGTACAGTTTCATGAGGTACACTGTAACGTCTCCTTGGATCTTAGTTTTGTACTCCCCCGCTCCTGGGTTCAGTCTGAACTCTCTCATTACTGTTACCTGTTCTAGAAGGTCTCCGTTGAGGTGTGATGTCATCTCGGAGAAGCCATCAGGGGTGATATGTTGGAGTGCAGCGTATCCTGCCTCGTGTTTTGCAACTTTCTCGTTAGGACCAGCCCCTACGAACACTTGGTTGTTGTGAGAAGGACAGGTTAGGGTTACGATCCAGCGGTTAGACAGGCCCACATACTTGTTAGTGGCAACAGTTTCAAATGTAGCACCAGGGAATATGTCTACTATTGCTTGAGCGGGGTGTTTACCCGCCACAGATTTGATCTCTGGTACAGATAGTGTGATGCCACCTCTAACTCTACCTCTACCCCGGTCACCTGTACCCCGACCACTTACACCACCACGTCCACCACTATCACCACCAAACCCTCCTCCTCCTCTACCGCCTCTCTGGTATCCTCCCCTGCCTCCCCTACCACCACCCCTTACTCCTGAACCACGGCTGAATTTAGAAGCCTGAAACCCACTGTCCCCGCTATAAGGACGTTTGGGGGCCGAGGAGTGGTTCAACAGCAGAGAGGTTTTAGGCACAGTTTGAGCTGCAGCTTCTGCATCCAAATCCTCCTGCAATATCATCGACCCTGATGGCCTTTTGTGTTTGTTATAGTTGATAGCAGGAGTTCTGGCAGGAAATGCGCTCGGTACTTGGGAGCTATATCCCGAGTACTGGTTATCTGGGTAAGGGTTTGAGTATTGGGGCTCGGCTGTGTAGCTTGGGGCGGCATAGCTTGGAGCGGCATAACTCGGGGTAGCATGGTAATCTGCTGCGCTACCCCCACCATAATATCCATCTGCTCCATCGTAACCATAGTTTGCCATGATTACCTTGAAACTGATTAGATTTGTTAGGTCATTTCAAAACGAAGCCTGTCCGCTTTGGATGCATTGATTTAAACCAAATTTTGGAACTTGCTATATGAATAATATGATTTCAAGACTTTTAAAAAATCATTTTTAATCGTTCAAATTCAATTGAATAACTTTAATACGTTAAAATGCATTGAAATTATACCGATTAAACTCAATAGTCAATACCGATATAATTGTAACATTTGTATCCGCATTTTGATGTTTATAATTCCGAAAAAGTCACAAAAAGTCAGTGGCTTTTTGAAATTGTTTAATATTTTTATTTAGGTCTTTTCCAGACACTCTCAAGCAAATTCTGTTTTTAGCATCCAAAGCAAGGAAAGGCTAAATGAATATCATAACAGAATTTGCAACAAATTACATCCAAGTAAAGCAAACTATATTTAAATTGTTTCTGAAAGTTATACACAGTACAATTGTGTAATGTCATAACATTCTGAAACTGAATTAAATCAATGAATAATAAACTCATTATCAAGTTGTATATATCAAGTTAAATTAATTCATTAGTGTATTATCTGAATTTTGGATAAAGAAAATGAAGCGACATATCACCATGAACATAAGATATCATGTGACTATCTACTTAATTCTCTTAATTAGCTTTCTAATAGCACATGATGAGCTTACTAATTGTGTGATGATGATTTATAATTAATCAATAATATCTCAAATCTGCTAGCTAGCATCACCTGTCAATCTTTATGTACATTTTACTAGAAAACCGATATGGATTTAATCAATTTGAATGAATATACATTTTGTCATAAATTCCGACAGCGATTCAGCAAAAAAGTGGTTGATCAATTTAAGTCTTAGCTTTGATTATATGTACTTATTATTCAGAAGTTAGACTATTTAAATTGCCTGTATCAGCAGGTTTTAAGGGCCAGTTTCCTAACCCAGCATCAGCAAAGGCTTGCTTAACTTTCAACTTAGCAATTTGGTATGTAGCTGCATTAACTTTACCAACACAGTAAGACAATGGAATGTCTTTACCAAGACCTTTCAAAGCAGCATTAAATTTTTCGAAAAACCTACTTTTGCACAGCATACTGGGTACCAGCAATCTCTCAATTTCCTTAGCAACTTCCAATTTTCTCTTAAAGAAGTCTATATCACTTTCAGAACTGTTTTGCATAGAGAGCCTTGGAATTTGACTAAGCGCTTTGCCTTCCGGAAGCTTGATGACCTCCCAACTGTTTTCAGTGTTTTGACAGTCAACCCAACCTGCGAATTTCCCATACATTTTATCAACAGGAAGTTTGCTGGAGGCGGTTACAAACTCGGGATTATTCACTTGAAAGGGAGGCGGAATGTCAATGAGGTGCTGCTCAATGCGCTCATAGAACGAGCGCTTTAGCACATCCTGACAAACCGCCACTGTTTTTTGCAGAACATATTTGGTAACAAACACTGGTAACATCAGCTGAGACAGAAGGCCTCCCTGAATACCCACAATATTACGCAATGTTAACTTGTCTGCGGGACTAACAAATGCAGGTTTATAGCGCCCAGTGTCTACCTGAAAGTGAGTATCACAGACAAACTTGAGCCCTTTGGGTTGGCCAGACTTAATAATAGGTATCGCATATTGCAGTGCACCAGGTTTATCTTGCTGGCAGTTCAAGATATGTTTGATGTTAGCACGTTTTGGTAATGAGTTGAAAACCAGCGCGTCACCAGATGGAGGATGGTTCAGTATCATCATAACTCTGTAGTTATCTTTCAACTTAAACAAACCTGACTCCACATCCTTCTCAACAAACAACTCGTTTGAACTATGTGTATCATGGACTATCAAATTGTTTATCTGATTGTAGAGGGCCAATTTGAAGGCTCTCAAAGCAAGAATCTCAGCGTTACAGTCATGTAACACGGTTCCAGTGGAGATCAAGCCATCACTGTTAATTGTATCACCTCCAGTTGCAACAGCTATTAGCCCAGATCGCTTGACTTCTGCGTGTTTTGTGTCATGAAGATAAATACCAGCCATGTTTCGAAACCGGAGTAAAGATTTGGGAAGACCGTGAGTTTTCTCTTTCAAAGTTTTGTACATTAGTTCCATTAAACTGTCTTCAAAAGTCGCAGCCTTCAAGGTTGGCACAACAATATTTACATCCCTGTTTTTGAGTGTCTTGATGCAGGTTATGGCGACTGCTTCCTTTGCTTTTTTCTTACTGGACGCAAATTCCTCAAAGTTGTATCCTTGCACTGCAACAGATGCTTTCCATAAAGGTGTCTTATTCACATGGATCTGGACTGGCTCAGTGAACTTAACTCCTGGCCCGAATATTCTGATAACATAACCCACCACATCAGAAATACCCTCCACCTGCAAATCCCTCTGAGTATCTGATGGCAGAGTGTACCTTATCATTTTTTCACTGCCTGGGATTTCGAAAAATTTCAACGCTGCAGTAGCGGCCACGTTTTTAGCCAACTTCTCCAACCTTCCTTTACCACTGAACTCTATATTGTTTTTGGAGGGCAGGGTAAGACTGACATTAAATTCCTTGCCTGAAGTGTTATCACTCGGTTTGCTCACAGAAACAAGTTCAAATTTGTGGCGGGGGAAAAAGTCTGACAAACATTTGACAGGTAGTCTCCCTGCTGCTGTTTTGTGAGGTCCTCTACCAGACTTTGTGGGTCTACCTCCGGGCTGCTTCAACATTCTAGAAACTTTTAACTCGGTCAGATAATATAAGTAAGCTTACCTAAGATACTTTTTTACTTCTTTAATATATGTGTTTTTTTTGTAAATAAATGTGTTTTACAAAGTACTTTGAAATTGGCGAATTACCGTTACACTTGGGCCCATTCAGATTTGTTTTCATGAATAAATAAAAGGGCTTCAGGCACAATATATAAATTGAGCTTGATAAGTATTTTGATATTTAAGTACATTTTGTATACGTCATGAAGAGAATAAAAATAAATGGAGGGTATGAATGATTGGATTGATTTTGTACGTCATCAAGGCAAAAGCTAGCTGAATTACCATTATATTATATTACATTTTGAAAAGTATGACAATTATTGTTATTTTAGAAAACTATTGTTGTTTTTATTATTGTCTCAAATACAAATTAATATCGGACTTTTATTTATTATCATTCAGAATTGGCAATGGTTGTTGCTTCCAAAAATGTAAATCATTCCCCACTTCATTTTTACTGAATGATTCCTTCCCATTAAACACTAACTGAAACTAATGCACAGCAAATGGCCTCTTCAACAAGTTATGGCTTTATGGCTTTAAAAGTTAAAGATAGAACAAAAAAGCACTAAAAATCGACGACGAGGAAGAAAAACAAATGGGTATCGGCTGGTTGGGCTGGGGCCGCCGCAAGATCCCCATCTTGAAACCTACCCATGGACATGAAACTCTGAAAATAACTTGTTAGAATTGTGTATAATTTTAATCTCATTATATCATGCATTGCACACATCCTCACTTCTTCAATTATTCTTATGAAGACTAAAGGGAATTAGGTGACTTCAAAGGTTCTCTTATAATCTCAGAACCTTGTATAACCAAGAATACCAAAGCAAAGGCAAATAATAATCTCAGAACTAATATTTTCAAACAAAATATAATCAAACATTCAAAAACTCAGTCGACAGATACTAGAAGAAAGTATAAAGTTGAGAAGTATCAACTGTTTAGTAGTATTACTTTACCTTGCCCTGGTGAAGCGAGTGGTTCATGCGACGCCAGCGATCACACAAACGGAGGCAAAGCTACCTGCGAGTGAAGTGTTAAGTGCTGCGCGTTAGCACTGGGGAGCGCTTGTGCGCTGAAAGCACAAGCGCGTGAGGAGAGGAAGATGGTTGATGACGAGCAGCTCATGTTGTTACCATGACAACATTGTTACCCCGCGTTACCAACGCCCTGTCGACAGGATTGTCTCGCGCCGCATTGGCGCCCTTGTGTGCCAAAACTTATTGCGCCACCTTTGCGCCCATGTGTGCTAAAACTATTTTCACCTAACTATCTCTTACCGTCCTTATTTTGTATCTTTATAATTGAATTTATTGTGTATTTTTTGCACACAAAACTTTGTTCCTGCCTTGAATTCTGATCCAGTCTAGTTAATGAGGTGAGTAATGGGTGGAAAATGGTATTAATAAATGTAACAAAATATTAATAGATTTAAAATGAATTAAATGAAAGACAAATCACGTAGGACTTATTTGCAAACTTGTAACACTAATAAGGTAAGATTTGTAATTTTAGGTTACGAAAGCGTGTAATTATTTATAAGTTGTGACACATTTAGCATTATGAACATTTTCGTGAAAATTTTAGTGTGGTGATTTTAAATCATTTGCCTCCGTTCAAATACCGGAAATATTAAGGGGTCACCAAATTTGCAGCTTCCACGCATCAAAGTTTATCATTTTTCATTATAATTTAGCATTATCCCGTCATCAGACCTTACCAAAACAGGATGTAATAACCAGAGATTTGAGAATTTCTTCCAAAAACTTGGTCAACTTTTTAACGATATTGAAGGACCCAAAAACCAGTCCTTTGCTTTTGGCATATGATTACCTCAATTTAGCCGTGGTCAATAAATAATGTCGCAAATAACAAACTCTGGGATGAAACATGGACACGACCAATCTCCTACACAGTAAGGAATGACCTTATTTACGAGAATCTATATTATAAATAGGGACTGTATCAGCAAGATTGCACAAGTCTACTACGTCTGCAGGGGTGAAGAAGATAGGTAGGGATAACTGTCAATAATACAGTTACAAAATTGTTGCGATCAATTGTGATAAGTTATCTGCACCATGTTCCCGATCTTAAATTTATAGTCACACTGGGCCGGGCCCTAACATGAAAACTGTATAACAATTCACATTCTCAATTTCCGTCTTTTTATTTGGCAAATTTTTGAATACAACATGACGTAACAATTTATGTTTTCATAATGGTTTAAAATTTCATATTTCTATCAAATATATTAGGTATTATGAATTTTACCATTTTAGCGATCCTTGTAGTGTAATTCATATTAGTTTATTTGGTCTGTGCTTATTTGCGTTTATTTTTCCATGTAACAACTGATTGACAAGATGGCAGCATAACATGCAGATTACATGTAAAAAGATAATTAATTAATTAACTCACCAGTTTTAGTTTCAGCTACAGTCTCCTGGGAGATAATGGATTTAATTAATTTAATTAATAATTAATAATTAATATTAATAATAATAATAATTAAATAAAAAAAATTATCGTTGAATAATTTATGTGATTTGAACTATTTAACGTTAATTGCTCAGAATAGAGTTAAATGGAGAAGTATGCAAATTGCATGACTTTTGTTTTGAGAAAGATTAGGGGACAGAAATGTTTACTTTGTTTACTATCTGTTTCTTAGAGCTTTTGTTTATATAATTAATAATTGTGAAAACATGTTACTTTAAACTGCCAGTGTATTTTTTCTTAGAGAGATTATTTAAAAATACTAACAACTTTTAAAATCGCTAATATATTATGACACTGGTCCTTATAACATGTAATCGAATCTAACTATCCTAGAATAAGATAACAAATAACCTTGGGTGGGGACAAATCTAGAGTCTCTGTTTTCATAACCTCATCTTCCTTGGTGTCCACAACATTCTCTTCCTGTGGTTGTTTTTAACTATTAAATTAATTTGATTAACTGAATATTATATATTGTCATGATTTAAATTCGTATATAATAATTAGTAATTATCTAATTAGTCAATCAGAGTTACCTGCTGGTCCATTTTTTCATCATCTTCATCATTACACTGCACGACGTCCTGGAAATATTATTTGTGTTCACACGTACTCAGTGAAAAGGAATTAAACTTCAGAGATTCAAACAACAAAAACTGAGGAATTTTCGAGCGCTTGTAATAAAATTAGATCACTGAACTTTCTATTCTGTTAAATCATGACAACAATTTTGTGATCTTTTCCTTGAAGTGCTAAATAGTGATTTTTTAAACCAAAAATAATATTGGAATAAATTTGAGCAATAATAGGTAGGGTTTAAGCTAATGGCCATTTAAAAAAAAAATACCGCAAGATAACTAACCTCAGCAACAGGAGCAGCTTCTTCTACTTTCATTCCCACCTCCTCTGCAACTTCTTCTGCTGCAGGTGAAGCTTCCTCGATAACTGCCGGCTCTGCAGGGATGGGTTCTTCAGCAGGGATGGGTTCTTCAGCTGGGGCTGGTTCGTCTGCAGGAGTGGGATTTTCTGCAGGAGTGGGATCTTCTGCAGGACTTGGTTCTTCAGCTATTGCCATTTCTTCAACTGGAGCTGCTTCTTCAACTGGAGCTGCTTCTTCTGCTGCCACAGATTCTTCAACTTGAGCTGCTTCTTCAACAGGAGCTGGTTCTTCTGCTGCCACAGATTCTTCTACTGGAGCTGATTCTTCTACTTCAGCTGGTTCTTCAACTTCAGCTGCCTCATCAATAGCTACATCTTCTTCCTCTTCAGCTGCCTATTTATAATTCGATTAAAAATTGGATGAACCCATCCTTAGTTTTTGAAATTGGACCTAAAATATCTCTATTCAATTTGAGGAGGAATGTTGATGTTAAAGGATGAGGGGACCTTAGAATTTACTTCCAAATATTCGCGTTTAAGTCCTGTGAAAGTGTGTAGAATCAAAAAATACGCCGGACTGTGAAATCGATAATTCGTGCAATATCACGCCGCGCTCCTATTGGCTGATAGCAATTTTGGGCTGTGACGTCACTTATGTGTTAAGACCAACGTGCGCGCGCACCCTTTGCTCGTGTCAACATTCTGTTCTGTTCTGTTTTAATTACGTCGTGTTACCTTTGGCGTTTGCGAGAGCGGTATCTTTGGTTGCACTGAATTAGTCTAAGTTACGAATAATTCTCTTTAATAATAATAGTTAAATGTAACTCAGAAAGGCTTTCTTGTAGTTGTAGTAGGTATTTCTATTTATAAATAGCTAACGTAAGTAGCATCCGCTAACTAAACCACAAACTGCTATTTTGTTTTGACTTGTTTGAAACCCGATATGGACACAATTAAAAAGAATGTATGATGTAGTAGAAGACATTTTACTAGCTGGCCCTTGGCGCCTCTAGTCCTATCTGAGTACGCACGTGCGGTTTGACACTGCGCGTGTACCGGCCTTTAGTTGTATACTCATTTATAATTTACCGTTTTAGTTTGCTGTGACTTGAGTGTAAAGCGTAACGAATGTGGATGTGTTCGTCTGCTATGCTTGGTATAATATTGCTTGGTGTAATAGTTGCAAATCTTGCTTACGTTATAAGTAGTGTCACATAGTGAGTTAGAACTTAAAAGCTTGGTGCTTGTCCAACTGGAATGAAGACATGCATTTCATACCTACCCGATCCATTTTTATTAGGACCGTGTTGTGTTGATATGACATGTTGATATATCAACTGTGGTACGAAACAGGGAGTTGCTAGGTGTTACGTTGGGAGCTATAAATATACATAATTTACATGCCTTTCTGTGTGACTTCAATCTTATTCCAGGTGTATCTCGGCTCATGGTTATCGTAGGGTGATAATTCATTTTTCAACCGGTCATAAAAAGTCTCCTCTCCATTGGTTATAGGCTCGTTAGTATCGTAAATTGTTAATTTATTCTTAATTAGTAATTTAGTTGGCCCGCACGCTCATTTTACCTGTATTTCTATATGCGCGGATCAGAGCAACTCACATAATTGACGTCACAGGTTCAAATTGTTTTGGCTGGATATCTCGGCGTGCGAATGAAATACAACTTTGCGGATTTCACTAAAGTGGTTTATACGATTAATGTAATAAAAGGATTTGTACGAGAAAAAAACTTTTTCTAAGGTCCCCTCATCCTTTAAACTGGCCAGGAAAAATGTCTTAATTTTTACTTTACTTTACTTCACTTTAAAGTTAAAATGGTACGTAAATGAAGTCAAACAAAGTGAAAAGTAAATTTGCGGAATGTGGTGTAGGGTAATTCACTAATTGTGTATAACAATTGAAATTAGTTATATGAAATACCTGCAACTCTTCAATCAAGCGAGAAACAAGGATTGCTTTATTGCCATTTGTTGGCAGACCTCTTGCAGAAAGCTCAGCTTTCAATTCAGCAACCTTTAGTTTTTTAACATCTGCCTCATTCAGATCAGACATCTTTCAACCTTCCTACTGCAATAAAAAGTATTAAATATCATTAATTAAATGATAAAAACCTGAACATCAAGTAGTATGAAAGTTGTTAAAAAGAAGATTTATGCATCTACTAGAATGTCAATTTATTTGGTGATCTTGATTCATATTTAGATAAACAATCAACATGTGCACGTACTAGACCATATATGGGCAATTCCACGATAACGGTAACCAGTAACAAAATAATAAAGTTTGGAGGTGGTTTGGGAGAGATAGAAAATCTTTAAGATATTTGACCATATTTTCAGGGGCAAAAAACCGTTTGTTGATATCTAGCCTAGTTTAAAAACTGTAGCGCGTCAAAGTTGGCTTAAATTTAGTGTATCTTTAGTGTGAATATCCAGTTATTTTCCGAAAGATTTTAGGGAGCTTTATTAATCGTAGAATTCAATATTTTATCCTGTATATCAACTTAGTGGGCTTCAGATAGAAGGCCAGCCTAATTTTGAGGGCAAAATTTCTTTACTTTTTGAGTGTCTTATGATCAAATTTTTCCTCTTCGCGTGTGAATAACGCTACCAAATAGTGAAAAATGTTTTACTGTGGCTACACTATAAGTCTGCTTGATTCGTAACCCTCTCTCTAACGGCAACTTTAGTCATCTATAAAGGTCAGAAAATTTCATTCGTTTTGTCACACTGGAAGTGCAAAAAGTAGGGGTAGTGTGATTCACAGGTAGCGTAATTCACAGCTTGGTAGTGTAATTTACACAGCGGAAAACTAATAAAACAAGTGGTTTAAATGCTTTGTTGTGAAATAAATTGTACTTTCAATACTTCCAGGGCAATTCCAGGGACCTATTTTCAACAAATGCCTGAAAGTGTTGGTAATTTAATCTAAATTAGGGTTCCGCCAGGGCAAAATGTGCCACTTTTAGACCTTAAATCACAAAAATAATGATTTTTAAATGGATTAGGACATCAAAATTGACTTGAAAGTGTTTTATAGTCATTGTTAGGTCTGGGAACACTTATTTGAGTAATTTAAAGGCTTATTTTCAGAAAATATCAGCAATTTGGGGCTAAAATTACCTTATTTTCTTGTCACGTAACTAAATTTTGCTCAAAAGAGCAGTGTTTTTGCCCCAAAAAATTCTAATTTTTATCAAAAACCATGTATAGAGGTATCAAATTAAAGCTCTTGATGACCTCTTCACATTAAAAACACAAAGAAGTAGTTTAGAATTGATATAAGTGATAAAATGGTCTAAAAATGGATTCATAAAGTTATAAATTTCGCCCAATTTCTGTCTAATCATGAACCTTTGAGAGCTCATAAAAAAATCATGCCACAATATTACACTGTACATTTTTCTAGGATTACTCTAAATGTCCTATACTTACAGATAGATCAACTTATAGATGCTTACCAAAGTTAATTTGCAACTTATTTTTGTAGTTTGTCCTAAAAAATGGCAAAAAATTGCCAAAAAATGCAATTTTTGACAAAAAATGAGGTAAAATTAATATTTGAGGTCAAATATCCATTTAATCACTCTAAAAACCTTTTTAAACGTTATTTCGGGGCAAGATACCCTTAGAATACATGTTTTGTGGTATATCATACCCTTTAGTCATGCCTATATCTTATGTCTACCTCGCATGGGCGCCCCGACCACTGTGGTATGGCAGTAGGGTGTAATCTACACCATTACCAGTATCTAATTGGACCGATTAGTAGTCAATTTAATTTAAAATCAGTAATAGTCAGTCTACTTCACCATTTTACAATAGCAGCAACCAAATCAAGAACAAGAAAACATCAATACAACGCACAAACAGAGCAACTGGGCAGAGTGTGAGTTACACTACGTCCAAATGTGAATAACGTTTACTTCCTATATTGTCCCTGTACTACACACATTCCACAAATTTATGTTAGGAAGGACATAGGAAGTTGAAAAAATGTGTACTTCATTGTGATCAAGCCTTATTGTAACTTCTGCTATTACACTGGGGCACGAATTGCAATTTTAAGGCAAGATTTCTAAAACACCAAATTATGCCTGTGAATAACGCCTACTTTTTAAAATGCTGCTCACATAAAAAGTATAAGAGATAGACATTAAACTTTTGTTGCCACATCATCACAAACGTTTAAACTTCATTCTGACTTTATATTATCATGCTGCTAATGTTAGCCTACAATTAGCATGCAATTAAAAGCTAAATTTTGTGCAAAGTGTGAATTACACTACGTGGAATTGCCCATATGGTATGCAAAAATTAGACCATAAACACTTTGAAAAGGAGCATACAAAACCCATTTTTGATAGACTAAAAATTCTAACGGCTCAAAACTTGGGGGGGTGGGGGGGCAACCATATTAAAGTATATTAAAATGTAGGATTTTTCCCGATTTTGACCCGGGGATATACTTTAATATACTTTAATATACCTACAATATACTTTAATATATCCCTATCTCCTTGGAGGCCTACATCAAAAATTGTTGCCCAAAATAAGCTTGAAATGCAATTCTTAATCGATTCCAAAAAGTTCTTGAAAAAATATTGAAAACTGATAGAGTTATTTCAATTTTAATGAAGTCATTTTGGCTAGTATTCCGAACCGAGATATTATGTGCAATTTTCTTAATTTTGTTCATGGAGGTCTTCTTACTTAGTATAATAATAATAATAAAATTTGGTAGCTTAAACACAAACTCTAAGCCCAGTGGATAAACCACAAAACTTATGCTCTATTGTGTGAAACAAAGATACTAGATCAAGATAATTATCAAGGAGTGTATGCATAGGACATAAAAAGTTTTGGAACGAAGATGACATGCTTGTGAAGCGAGCTAACAGTCTAATTGCTAATAAGTTCAAAAAGATCATGACATTAGGTTGCATCCTAAACAGTTTAAGCAAATAACATAAAGTTATTATATTGTCAATTAATCGCTCATGCCATAACTTTTCTTAAACAGGTGAGTTTTTAATAATGTTTTGAACAGATCAACATCGGAACAAGTCTTAATTTCAATTGGTAGTTGGTTCCAGATTTTCGGAGCAACAGTCTGAAATGCTCTTGGGTGTGATCTTGTAGATCCGACGGGTAGGTGTAAGGAGGAAGTTCTTCTGCTACTCGAACTAACAAATGTTACTAGATCACACAGATATGCAGGAGCAACACCATTGACTGCTTTGAAAATCAGTAAGCATAACTTAAACTCAATCCTCTCCTTCACCTTGAGCCAATGAAGGGATTTGAGCTTCTCCTCGACTGAGTCTCTCTTCTTTAATCCAAAAACCAGACGGCATGCTCGGTTCTGAATGTTCTGCAGCTGCGTAATTGAGGCTTGACTACAACCGTAGTAAAGTGCATTGCAGTAGTCAAGCGATGAGATTACAATTGCTTGAGTCAGTGTTCCCATCTGTTTGGTTGTGAGGAAAGTTTTCATCTTAGCAAGGTCTCTTAGTTTCAGAAAACACGATGTTTTAAGTTGCTTGATTTGCTCACCAAAGTTTAGTTGAGAGTCGAGACGAAATCCGAGGTTCTTTGCAACAGGTGACAGCCTGACACACGTCTCAGAGTTAACAAACACGCCCCCTATGGACAGCTGCTGGAGAACAAGCGGTGTCCCAAAGACAAGAATCTCAGTTTTTCCTGCATTGAGCTGTAGATAATGTTTTTTCATCCAGTCATTAATTTCTTGGAAACATTTGGGAACATCGTTGATAAGGACGGTGGGCTCCTCGTTTGGCTTGAAACTTTTATACAGCTGATGATCGTCGGCGTAACCCTGGATGGAGAAGTTCAAATCATGTGCTGCTGAGTACAAAGAGCGAATGTAGATGTTGAACAGGACCGGACCCAGCACAGAGCCTTGTGGGACTCCAAACTTAATCACTATCTCATAAGATTCCTCATTTCCAACTTTAATCGTTTGACATCTACCTGTGAGGAAGCTGCTGAACCATTTCCAAGCTGTCCCTGTTATTCCCAACTCATTTCTGAGGATGTTCAGTAGTTTGCAGTGGTCAACTGTATCAAAAGCTGCGCTGAGATCTAGGAGAAGAACAACAGTTGCCTTGCTTTCTGTAGATGCAATGAGTAGATCGTTAACAACTCTCACAAGCAGAGTCTCGGTGCTGTGTTTTGATTTGTATCCAGACTGCTGTGGGATGTTCAGGTTGTTGTTTGTAGTATCCACTATATTCAACAAACACTGAGTTATATCTTTCACATAGAGTTAGTCTCATTAAAAAATATTAAAATTTTATCGAATTTGGGCAAAAGCGAATTTGGGCAAAAGCGAATTTGGGCAAAAGCGAATTTGGGCAAAAGCGTATGCCCAAATATGGGCATATTTTTTAAAGCTCATAGCTCAGCCAATTTTTGACCAATCTGGATGGAAATTCATGTACTAGTCCTAAAACAGGCTTATCTTGAGAATCTGAGTGAAAAATATAGTTCATCATGTAAATCTTAACGAAGAATATAAATCTTCTAATTGTAGGTATATTAAAGTATATTAAAATGTAGGATTGTTTCCGATTTTGACCCGGGGATATACTTTAATATACTTTAATATGGTTGGCCCCCCCCCCCCCCCCCCAAACTTGTACAAATATCACTGCATTTTAGAATTCTCTAAGATTATCAAGTACCACTGCCCGCCCCTACTCCCTTTATGAGGCCATCAACATTTCAAACCGTGCAACGAGTCTAACGGTTATTCTTCTGAATAAATCAAATACCTTTTTGTTTAATGCAGCCAAGCTTTGGAACACAGTTCATAACAAATTTTTAACTTCAAGCAATTACCTAGAAACTTCCATTAACTTGATAAAATTGAGAACCAAAGCACTATAAGTACAATCACAGGCAGCTGACTTAAAAGATACCTGGACTCCATCCAATTTTAAATTGCAGTAATCAAATTGCACTTGCAGCGGCACACACTACTATCATAAATAATAATAATAATAATTTAAACTTATAGATTATAGTGGCACAACAACTTAAAATG